AGAAAAGAAGCAGATGGTTAAGGTTTAAAAAGAGGAAGAAGCATTAAATCCATAGTTGGTAGTCCAGCAGTATCCCTGTCTCTTTCTTCTATCTCTGTTTTTTACGTTTTTTCGTGTCCAAGGTTCAGGCTGGCCCTATCCTATTGATTGGCATCCTTTGATTTTAGAAAATGAAACCCCACAGGAAGCAGCAAAGGACAGTATAGACTCTTTACGATTGCTGCAAGTACCAAGTTTAAAGTGCCGTCGACTTTGAACGGGTAGCAATGTGGCCAAGTTACATTTTGTGTGACCCTAGATACACTAAACTAAAACATTGCCTTAAAAGAATTCATTTATTGCAGAGGAAGGATAAGTGCAGATTAGATGGTGTAAAGTAGACTTTAGAGACACAGAAAGGAAAGAAATGTAAAAAGACAAACAAGGCAGAACATTCTTGCAAATGTAAAGATTTCTGGGTTTGTTTTTCCTTTCTTGCCCGCGTGTATGTTGTGCTGCACGGCGAGAAGGATGTGGGGGGAGATTAGTGTGTGGTCAAGATCACTTGCTGAGTACAGCTCCTGCACCTTGTGAAGGTTTTCTGGGGAAGAGGGCTCCCGTTGTTTCCCCGTAAGAATGTTGTTGAGCTGATCTTATCAAAAGTTTTCTGGTGTGAACTGAGGTGTCCTATCCATATAATGCGTTCGGTCTTTTATGAACTCTCGGCTGCGTTCGGAGACGTCGCGTGTTGCCCCTTCTTTTTATGGGTGTTTCGTTTCCTTCCTCATTCATTGTCTTTAGCCTTCAGCGTATCCAAGCACACCTTCGTGAACAACTAGACCCAAAACTGTGGATCTCGTTTGTAATGGAGTTTTTGGGGCCAGTTGTTCTTTTTTCGTACAAAAGAATGCGCCACTTGGGCAGAAGTAGAAAGGGGTCTCACTGTTGCGCATGCACCCACAGGTACGTCACTCTTGCACTATATGTGACGGCAGTGTTAAGATTTTTTATTTTTAATAGAGATAATTTGTTTAGATTTGAAAGTAAGAACTGACACAGACGAGCAAACATTGTTTCTCATTCGGCGTAAGTGCCGAGGGCTAATTTGCAGAAAGGTATCGTGAAACAAAAGTGTTTTCTCCACCCTTGTAACAGAATAATAACAACAATAATAATAATAATAATAATAATAATAATAATAATAATAATAATAATAATAATCATTTTCATTTGCGAAGTAATGTTTCCCCGGGCGACTTGCAACGGTGAAGCGTCGTGCCACAGGTGGTTGTCTTGTTCCTGAGAACCTTGGATTGCGGAGACGCGTCCGTGCCGCTCAGTCAATGGAACTCTTGGTCTTGCTAATCTGGAAAGTGCGCTTGGCCATCAGTGTTATGGAAAGATATGCCCTCGTTGCAGACAAAGGCTCCGAGTAACCTTATCGGCGGTGGAGATAGCGAGGGGCTCCTCCGGTAATGTACCTTTGGCATGAGGCATTGGTTGCGCAATCGGAGGGGGGAAGAGATCTCCCTGAATCCTTTGGTTCTCAGTAGCAGATCCACAGACAACCGTTATCTTTCTTACGCGCGAGGGTCGTCGTCGTGTCGTACGATCGCCGTCACGTCTTTCCCTCGGACGGGCAATGGTGCAAACGCCGAGCGAATCCTGAGCTGTCGGCTCACTGCACCACCGTCTTCCTTGGTTCGATCGGCCGAGCGACCGTCGAGAAAGCGGCGCTCCATCGCAATCTTCAACCAGTTAACCCTTTGAGTGCCGGGTTTTTTTCCCCGCACGTTGAATGCACATTTTGGTCCAGCGTAGAAAAAGTGTAGTGTGCTTTGGGAAGTATATTGTCACGAATAAAAATATAAACTCTATTTAAAAAAACTGAAAATGAACGTTAAATGCGGTGGACTTGTACCGAGAAACGTGAAGTAGCAAAGACCGTCATAGTTTGATGGTGACGGAAGAACGACTGTCTCAAGCAGGCCATGCGAAGCTCCTTGTGTAAGTGCATGGGTATCTAGAAGTTCCCGAGCTCGAACAAACAAGAAGGTTCTTGCGTCATCTGGAACATTCCAGTCATGCAAACAAAATAAAAATAGAAAGGACAAGCGCTGGCAGGGATCAAACCCCAGGCAGCGGCGTGGGAGTGGAGCACTCTGCTGACTCAGCTATTCGTGCGCGGCAATATTTCTTTATCGGAGACACACTGATCTATGTGTGTTAATTGATGTCTGCGTGCCTCCAACCTGGGATATTTTTCTCGAATTATACTTTTCGAGACACGGTACTATGACAAGTGGCAACCCCTACCTCTCACCCTGGGGCCTTTGGAGTGGTCTCGACTGGCATTTTTTTTCATTTGGAACTGGAACTTTCTTATTTAAGACTGAAGAAAGAATAAAAATGCAGGACGAAAACGACACAACCACATCTTCCAACTAGCAACGGAGGAATTCCAACAGCGAGCAACCAATTAAATAAATCGTGGAAAGGGAAATTAAGTACGACGAGAGGAAGGAGTCAAGAGACGATAAGATAAAATGCAAAGTCAGGTCGACAGAGTCATCTCTGATTTGAACAATTCAACTTCAGTCTTCGTCAGAAACAGTGAGGGATTAGAAACATTGTTTGCGCTGTTTATGGTGACTGACTCCGTAAACTCCCGGCTGTATCTGCTGTTATGCCTCCTCAAGATTCTTGTCTCTTCAAAACAGGGCCTGCAGTCGGTGCGGGAACGGGTGTGCATGACTATGGAATGGTAAAAATCGGGTGAAGCCTTGGAATATTCATTGTAATGTTCCCATAGTGGGCGATTTGTGGACCTGCCAGTCTGACCTATGTATTGATTCCTGCAGCTCGCGGGAATGGAGTTCTTCTCTTTGCATGACATGAACTTGCTTTCATGTTTGACGGTGCGGCAACTCGGTCATTGTGAACTGGTTGGCAGAGTTGCCGGAGGTGCCAAGAAAACATGACGTCTGTGTCGAACCGTGATGCAATAAATTTTAACCGATGAGCTCTATTGTGCACGTACGGGATAACTTAAAGTCGGGCTTTCCTCTTGGAGGCTCTGGCATTGAAGCCCAAGAACAAACCTCTCTAAGACGGAGCGAAGAAGGTCGACAGGGGACCCGGCCTTAACAAGCCTCTGATGCTGGGTTTTATAAACTACCTTGTGAAAGATCATGACAGGGCTTTGTAAAATATGAGGACTGCAATTTGATGATAGCTTGCTTAACCGACTTCGAGTGAGCACTAGAAAAAGGAAAAACAGGTTTAGCAGGCCTTTGCTGAAGGCCCGGCAGATTCAAGAACTACCGTAGAATACCGCGTATCCGCCCATTTCACACTAAGCGCCCATTCCCAAAGTTGTGAGATCTGAGAAAATATGCTCAGTAGATTGATATGTAAAATTGATGACCGGACAAGTGCCCATTCCCCATTTTTTCGAGATTATCTTTAGATTTTGAGTGGGCTCTTGCCCGGTATTTTATGGTAGCATGCAGCCACACACAGATTGAGGTACTGTAGTCCTTCCTTCGAAGATCTTGTTTCGTGAAGGTGAGACCAGACGAGTAAGCGGAAAAGGCGTCTGTAATATTTTCGGGAGAGATTGAGTCAGGATGAATGATTAAGCAGTCATTGACGTATCTGAACGCATGGCAGAAAGCATGGGATTCCGAATCGCTGTACTATCAAACATGAAAACAAGTTCATGCCATGCAAAGAGAAGAACTTCATTCCCTCGATCTGCAGGAGCCAATACATAGGCCAGACTGCCAGGTGCACAAATCGCTCACTCCGGGAGCATTACAATGAAGTTTCCAAGGCCTCACCCGATTTCTACCATCCCATAGTCATGCATGCCCGTTCCTGCACAGACTGCAGGCCCTGTTTCGAAGAGACAAGAATCTTGGCGGGCGTCACAGCAGAAACGGCCAGGAGATTGTACAGTCATTTGCCATGAACAGCGCAAACAATGTTTCTAGTCCCTTACTGTGTCTAACGAAAACTAAAGTTGAATTTCTCAAATCGGAGATGACTCTGTCGACCTGATTTCGCATTTTGTCTTATTGTCTCTTCACTCCTTCCTCGCTTCTTAGTTACTTTCCCTTTCCTCAATTTATTGAATCGGTTGCTCGGTTTTGGAATTCCTATAAGTCTGTTGCTAGTTGAAAGGTGTTGTTGTGTCGTCTTTGTCCTACATGTTTGTTCTTTCTTCAATCTTGACCCGCACCAACATGCACTTTGTCCATTATTTCTTCTTTAGCTTATTACTAATTTCTAGGTTTCAATGTTTGCCATAAAGCGGAAGGTTGAACAACATGAATTCCCCTTTCCGGAACAATGAAGGACCTAACCGAGACAGAAGTCCCCTAAAGAAAATGTTCCATGTGTCCTCCACGGGCTTGATTACCTGACGAGTCCTTGCCCTAGTGCAAAAATAAAATGAACAGCCCGATTGGGAGATGCAGGGAGCAAATCGAAACCTGTGTGGAAGCGCGCTTGAGTGTACCACGTCTTTAGCTATACTGGCCTCGAAAGTTTTGAGAAGCAATGCCCCAAGCCCACGCATGCGCAAACGTATCGGTTCCGAGATCTTCAAACATTGGAGCGCCTCCCCCACCTTTTATTACGCTTACTAATGAGCGAAGCCCCGTGTCATCGTCGCACTCTACCAAAGGCCTAAAATTGAAAAAGACAAGTTATGCAGAAGCTTTTCTTTTGCCCACACACAAAAAGAGGCGTGCGCCTGCACTTTGTCTGAGACCACTGTCCCTGGATATCTCGTACCCCCGACCCCCCAGTGCACGCACGAAGGAGTTTGTGGGCCTCGGCTGGCGCACACGGAGCGTCGTCCAGCTGGTGCGGAGGTAGAGCGTCGGTCTGCAGATCGGGTTCGACTCCTGCCAAGGGACGAGCGTATACCGCTTAGATTTCGAGTAAGCGCTCGTGCGTAACCGAGCCAATTGTGCCGACGTTCCCCGAGTGAGCGCAGCTCTACTTGTGCCCAGGAGATGGAGCTGCGGCGCCTGCTGCACCAGGTGCGCTGCTGGCTGCGGGTGGTGTTTGTGTTGGCCAACAACCTGTACTGCATCCCCACCTACCTGGCCTGGATGTGGCTGGTGCTCTACCCGCTCCGGCTGCTCATCCCCCCGCTCTACTGGGCCGTGGAGCGACAGCTCTTCAAGCTTCTGCTCCTCATGGTCTCCTTCTGGAGCTGGAGCGCAGAGTACTATGGTGAGTCCTTCTTTGGCCTCCACTGTACCAGGCGGTGAAATGGAAGCGGCACTTTGAGAAATTGAAATAGGCCTTTTTGCACCCAGATCTGCGTAGATATTGCCCTGTTCCCAAAGACTCCCGAAATTCGCCATCATCCGGAGCACGCGTCGCAATCCTTCAGCCGAACTGCCGGCGGTAACAAATACGTGACATTTTGTCGGCTGCCGTCGGGGGTAGGCAAGAATGTGCTTTTCTTCTGCAGTTTTGTCTCGATTAGTTTCGGTCGTTGACGGCGAGAAGGAAAGGACGACTCTCCGTCGTGCACTCTATAAAACTCCTCGATACGAGCAACCGTATCGAGGGGCTTCGGAGTCAAATCGTCTGCCTGGGCGCATCTCGTCGGGCATCTTCCTCCACCGCCTGCCAGAAGGCCGCCCTTCGTGTGGCAGACGTGCCACATGCTCGGACGACAATGTTGTCGGTGGTTAGACTGAACATCGAAAACGGTCCGCTGTGTAAAACAAAAAGTCTCGCTTGAAGTTTGGGTTTTCAAAAATTGTGGTATCTGTCCAACCAGTGACAAAAAGATTGTGGACAATGCAAATAGAATTTGTCAAGGTACTTTGCTGGTCAGCTTGAAAAAAATTTGAGTTAAAGTCGAAACAAATTGAGCGAGTTGGTTCGTCACCTTAGGCAAAAACTGAAACGGCCCCAGAAATATGTCGCTTACGTCGTCTGCTTTCTCCGCTTCTTTCCTCGTCTTTCTGGTTCTGTTCTCGCTTCGTATTTGAGGCGTGGAAAGGTCGATGATTTTGGGGCAAAACATTGCCATAGTCGACGTGAAATTTGTGAACATACCGCATTACAGTATTTAATTAATCTTGCACGCTGCACGCAGTCAAGTTCATTGTGTGAGACAGTTACCAGAAATGCACAATCACTATTTTTTTCAAATCTAGGTATATAAACCAGGCTGGAGTATAAATCTCAATATTTAAGAATCAAGTCTCGATTTAATTCTTTAAATCGAGATTTCAGATATAAAAATAAAAAAACTGGTCCGATTTTGGTCGCAATTTAAATCGAGATTTAAATCTGACTAGTTTTACCATGATGATTTAAATCGAACCTTTTCTGCCAAAAGGATTCCAAAAATATTTTTGTTATTTACCGTTTGTTTATCATTTGATGCTTTCTGTGTGCATTAGTTTTGTATTTAAATCGAGAAATCGTAGAGCAAGAGCGATTTATATAAGTTTGAACACGAGCACAAAGCGGTGGTCTTTCGAAGTGTCGAGATTTTTTTCAACCATTCACTTTGTTTATCAGTTACGCAACATCCAAAAGCAAGTAAATAAAATGTTAAACTAACGCTAGAAAAGTAATGTCGTATTGCCAGGAAACCAGAATGGAAAAAAAAGCAAATGAAGCCTTTTCACCAATCAACCTAAAAATATCGAGCTGTTTCTTTTTCTACAACGGTGGGGTTTACTCCGTAAAAAAGTATAGGAGGACACGTAAGACTGCTTACGTATAGGAGTGCGAAGGCATTCCTACCTGCAGCTCGCCCCGCTCCTCTGCGACGCAACATGGCTGAAAGCGGAGCATAGAACACGTGATACAGGAGTGAGATTCCCCCCCCCCCCCTTTTCCCCCGTCCAACCATGCCCAACGTGGCAGCTGCGTGCGCGCCACCCTTTCTTTTATTGGCGTGCAGCCGCAGCGTCGGAGGAGAGGGCTTCTCTGTGGGGTCGCAACGTTCCTCGCAACTATGACACGTCGCAGCCATTTCAACTGCCATTATTTAGTTGCCCGGTTTTCGCGGTCACAGACAATGCCGGCTGCGCTCCGTGGGACAGTTAATGCTTTCGCTTTAAAAGTCGTTAATTAAACTGTACTTTAAATTTCCAGTTTTTCTTTCTTCTGTGTGCAGTGGTCAGGCAAATTGATCAATGTCATGTTTATGTGTAATGATTAGAAAGCGCTATTTTATGGCTCTGGTGATTTATACTGGGATATACATGGAGTCTAGCTAATAGAGTGGAAAGTGGTCGGTTGGGTGACCAAGAGGAGGGGTTTGCAGTGGACGAGGTGGGCGAGGACGTGAGCGAGTGCTACGGGGAGCGCACCCTGGTGCTGGTGAACCACCAGTCGACGGCGGACGTCCCGCTGCTCATGGCCTCATTCCAAGGCAAGCGGTCGGTCACGGAGCACCTCATGTGGATCATGGACCGCCTGTTCAAGTACACCAACTTCGGGGCCGTCTCGATCACCCACGGCGACTTCTTCATCACCCAGGTGGGTCTCCGTAGGAGAGGGGCCGGATCGGGCTCTCGAGCCGGAGCCTTCCCGCAGGGCAAGGACGTGCGCAACACGCAGCTGGAGCGGCTCAGGGACCACATGCTCAATGTGTACCTGCGGAGGGGCCTCAAGTGGATCGTGCTCTTCCCGGAGGGCGGCTTCCTCCGCAAGAGGATCGCCACCAGCCAGAGGTAGTACTCAAAAGGAGTGAAACCTCTCGAGCTTTTGCCATCCAGTTCCTCGCCGGGATGGAGGCCTCTCTCGCTTTTAAGTGCTGTGGAGAGTGAACACGATTCGCCTTTCTTGGCCCCGTAAGTGCCCGCCCGGTTAAAGGTAATCATTGGGTCCGGTTTCGTCAATCTAACGGGCAAAATCGTTTGTGATTTCGGACTCCCAATTGGAGAAATACTATTGGATTCAATTGTTGAAATCAGATTGAGAGAGTCTAATTAAATCCAAATGTCTTTTTTTTTTTTTCAAATTGTTTGTGCCTTTTGAATGCATTTTTTTTGCAGAATGAAAGACTAGTAGTAAAAGACCTAGATACGTTAATTGAACAACTTCGACTTCTTCAATTCTTTTTCATTCGCCGTCTTCCATGTCTGCAGCTTTCGTAGGAGGAGCACTGCTATTGATTAAATTACTTCGTGGTATCAGATAAACATTCATATTAACCAATTCATAATGATTAAGAAAATCTTTTTCTCTAACAAAGGAGCTATTTGCATGTCACAGCCTCTTTTTACCTTACCATTATTTTAGAAACCAGAGGAATTGGGTGTGAACACTATGATCCCACTGGTCTTAAACGGCAAGTTTGAATCGTATGTAGCACATTCCAAGAAGAAAGGCAAGTTGTAGTCAGAATATTTGTAGTACATATCTTTCTCTTGCAGAGAAATTTACCTTTTGTCAAAATGGGACGACTAGGTTCGGGCCTGCACTTGAAGTTCTGCAAAGTTGAGATCAAATTTCTGGTAACTATATACTTGGTCTCACTAAAAGCGTGCAGTACAGCCAAAGCTACAGGGGAGAGAGCGTATGCCAACCAGTTAAAGAAGAGGGAAAGAAGGAACGTCAGAGAGAGGCTCAGATTCCTCCTTTCCCTCCTGTTTGGAGGGAAAGGAAACTTTAAACTTGGGAATTCAGTATTTGTGAAGTAAAAAAACAATTTCTAAATTTAGAATTCGAAGTTCCCGCGCGGCCAGTGCAGTGACGTCAAATATTGAGCTGTCCTGCGAGTTGAGTTTCTCCGATTACTCCGAATCGCCGCTGCCACCGCCACCCAAAGTGTCGTGTTCACCGGCGTCCCGTGAACAGTCGGTTTCCTCCGTGCGTCCCACCTATGGCTGCGAGCAGACGACGCTCGACTTTTGAGTTAGTTTTTTTTAGAGCCCTTTCAGTGATCTCAATTTCTTTGAAACGGTGCAAGAGCGAAGGGAATGCACAGTGGATGTTCGTGAGCGACGTGACGGATCACGTCGTGCCGGTTCTGCGTGAAAGGCTGCCCCGGCAGAGTCACAACCGAAACCACGGTACACAGACACTAAACCCAGTTGTTTTGACCGTTTGATGATTTCCTTTTCGAAGTCTGAGAGGTCGTAGGGCACCGAAAGAATAGAACTTCGTCCGATTTCCCGACTCGCCAATCATCCTCTGCTACATGCGTCGAGTGCTGCCATGTTTTTCGAGGGAGGATAAAAAGCCATGTTTCGAGGGAGGATGTAGCCAGGAGGCTACATCGCTCCGGACTCCGATTTTTGGTATTTCGAAAAGAAAGGCCATAGTATGTTTGCAATTGCATTAAAAAACTAGTTTTACGAATGCCGTTATTAAATGTTATAAAAATGTCGCTCACAAAGCTTCTAAATTTCATAATATTTGACGTCACAAATCAGAGGAAGCGAAGAAGTGAGGAGTGGGAGACAAGAAAGCAAAAAATAAATAGGCACGGGCGCGCGTGTCCATGACTATAACTTGCATCGTTTTAGACAGCAAAAATTACGACTTTTGGAGTGTCAGTGCCCCTTGAAGCAGTGACTTTCTCTGCTGCATTAACAATATTTAAGGGGTTAAAGTGATCAGTGTAACAACTCCTCCACTGAGGGTCCGCTCCGCTCGCGCAGGCCCTCAGCAGGGTTATTGCTCGTGCAGAAACGCTACAGTTCCTACGGCGCAATAATGCGAGATCGGTCTGTCAAAAAAGCCAGTTGGCAGATGAAGTTCCAACCGAAAAGTTCCGTTCCAGTTGAAACGACCAATGGGTCATCTCAGTTTCAACTGCTGTTTTCTGTTTCCAATTGGAATTTTTTTGGCTCCAGTCGGTAGCGATTGAAATTGCAATTGGACCCAAAGGTTATTTTCAATGGGCGGGCACATGCCTGAGCGCGTGGCAGACACGGGGGCTGCGTTGGTGTTCGGCGTGACCTCGGCTTGAAGATGAGTGCCACGTCGGCGTAGACTCGGATTTAATTGTGCGCTTCCTGCTCGAGGAATGCATACCACAGTAAAACCTCGTTATAACAAAATGGGATATAACAAACTAATGGATATAACAAAGCAATCATAATTCCCCTTGCTTGCTAATAGTGGGAAGAAAGTGACAGTGGCTATAACAAACTAATGGTTATAACGAAATAATTATGACTGCTCCTTCAACTTTGTTATAAGGAGGTTTTACTGCATTGACGTTGCTTGATGAAAATTGCGGGGCCCTTTTCGGAGTGCCTCGGTTGGGAGCTTGCCACTGGGTTGCAGGTACGCCCGGACCAACAACTACCCGATCCTGGAGCATGTGACCCTGCCGCGAATAGGGGCCATGAAGACGGTCATGGAGACTCTGTCGCCAGAGAACCTGGCGAAGATCTCGAAAGGTACCCATCATCCGTCGCTCTCTGGCCGCCATGGAGAAAGTTTTGTCACAACCTCGGAGCCGCGGATCCGGTTATGGGCAGACGAATACCTGTAGTCTTCAAATGGGTCAGGCAACGCGTCCAATTCGTCCGGGTGTGGGTCGGACAGAACACTCAACCACCAAAGATGGCAGAGGCAGTTGCGCCGCAACAGAGGTGTTGCTGCTTGGGAAATCCATTACCAATGTAATGGTTTTCCCACTAATTGGCGGTTTTTTGAGTTGTCTGGTGGGAGAAATTGTCTTGCAGTTGGCGGAAGTTTTAGGGCTTTTTGAATGGTATTGCAGTGTTTTCTGGCAGTCTAAAATGTTTTCCAGTTTGCATTTATCGATCGCGATAGCCGAGTGTCCTCGGTAGTTGAGAGTGATGGGGTCGTTATTTTTGCTTACCCTCCACAAAAATGTTGTCGGTGAGAATAACACTCGTGACGCCATCGAGATATTATGGAGGCGAACGTCGAAACGTAGCGTTAAAATGGTCAATCTCAGCCTGCGTTGTAAGTCTAGCGGTTTTCTGGGAGTCCTCCAGCCAGGTTTTGATTTTTCGGTTGACAAGACCATTGGGCACGCCCCTCCCTGCGCGAATAATGAGAGGAGGGAACTGGACTCGTAAAGGGTGGAGATTTGGGAGGCGGCCATGCCCGGGGTTTCTCGGGAGCAGGTTCTCTGGTCAAGACGTGGGTTTTCTCCTCTACGAGGTTCCTTTCGACCTCTCTGCGCGAGTTCGCTTTGTGTCGCAGCCTAAGGCCACCGACAGAGAGAGAACGACGAGGCGTGTCTTTGGAACGCCTGGCCTCCGCCGCGAGGTGCTCTGAGTGACGCCGTCGTCGAAAGTTAGAAGCTCGCGCCGGAGGCGGGACAACCGCAGCTCCCTCTTGTCATTCTCATCTTGTCGGTGGCGCAGTGCCATCATACTACTTTTGCCGGACCGCGCACAAGGTTTGTGTAATCGTTCAATCTGCGAAAAACTGAACTCATTTGTGCCCAACTCGGTGAATTAGGCGTTTTGAATTCGGTCGCTTCGGAGGGTCGCACCGCATGCTGCCTGGAATGCACCTCTCTCCGACCGGTGTGCTCGCCGTGTCCTAAAGAGTGGCCCCTTGACTTCTGCCCGACGACGTTGCGAAAGTGTCCCATTGTTGCGGGCGCAATCCTGGCAGTGTCGCAGCAGTGGCTCGCGGGGCCCCTCCCCAGCTGGACAGTCCACTGAGCTTGGGCAGCCGGGAGTCCCCGCGGCAAGAGCGGCGTTCGCCTTTTACCTCTCGCCAACTGCCGGGATATCCCCCTACGGCACAGTGGCTTTTGCGATGCCTGCCACTTGGGAACCGTTTAGAACGCCAGAATAGGGCACTGGACACACCGGTCGGAGACGCTGGCAGCGTTGCGGGATGATCTAGGTGACTGGGGCGCATGCGAGACGGGCCTCTCCGTGCAGGGCGCCGGGAGGAGGCCCTCAAGTGGGTGGTGGACGTGACGGTCGGCTACCCGGAGGGCAAGCCCCTGGACCTGCTGACCATCTCAGGGGGCTTCCGCAAGGCGTGCGTGGTGCACCTGCACTACCGCCGCTTCCCCGTGGCCGAGGTGCCCTTCGGGGAGACGGAGGCCCTCACCCAGTGGCTCTACGCCCGCTGGGTCGAGAAGGAGCACCTGCTCGAAGAGTTCTACCGCACGGGACGCTTCCCGGGGCGGTCCCACCACCGCGAAGGTGCCGCCGGGGGCGCCCCCCTGCGGCTGGTGCCCCACCGCGCCGACTTCAACGTGGCCTGGATCGTCCTGGTGCACGCCTTCTTCATCATGTCCACCCTGTTCCACGTGGCACTCTTCCGCTGGCTCGCTTCCCTGCTCTGGTGGTGATTGCGCCCGCCCTCGGTCCCGCGGGGAGTGGACCTCGCATTGTCGCCCGTCTGGGACCCTCGAGCGTCGGGACGAGGCAGGTCGCTCCTGGCGTAAATGACGCATCTCACTCCGGAGGAAGGGGCGTCCATTGGCTCCGGAATCGACTCGGGGGTCTCGATCTTCCCGGCAGAGAGGGCAGCCGGGCGCACTCGCCGTCGTGGTCGGTAGACCTTCGGGCGAGGTGTTTGGAGCCCGCGAGAAAAGAGAGGCCTCCGTGCGAGGCGGGAAAAGAAAAAGACGTCGGGCACTCGACGCCTCGCCCACTTCCGTCCGCGTCTGCCGTGGAGCAAGGGCACCCTGCGGCGCTGCCTTCGGGCGCACGTGGGAAGCCGCGAGTCGCCCGACGGGGACTAGTCACTCGGGAGGAAGGACCCGGCCTCGGTCGCCTCCACAATGGCCTTCCCGCCGCCGTCGTTACCACTCGCGTCCCATCCTCCTGACACGCCCTGCCTCCGCACTTTCGGACCGGGGGACCTCGCGGAGCAAAGACTACGCCGCGTCTTCTCGTCTTCGTCATCGACCGACCCGAGAGGCGCGGCATTGCGTCCGGAAATGGTTCCTGTGACTCGCGAAAGCGTGCGGTGTGTTTTTACGGACCGTCGACCTCCACGATTCGTTTGTTGGCCCGGCGCCCCGCATCGGGCGTGATGGTGATTGTCGTTCGTCTAAATGGCCTGCAATGTCGCGCTTCTACGTTGCAGCTACCGCGCAAATTACGGAGCGAGAACCCTAAAAGTGAAAACCGTAGAGGCTCGCTCGGGCCATCGGGACGACGCAGCGTCGGCGGGATCGGTGTTCCGTTTTCTTCTTTGGGTGCGCGCGTGAAAGGGAGCCTGCGTGTGTCGGGTTCAACGGCGAGCGTACCGTTTTCCGGGTGCATTTGACGGAAGTCTGCTGGAAGCGAGGGCGTTTTCGGCTGCCCCGCGTATCGTTCGGACGCGTTTTCCCGACTGCATGCGGTGCAACGGGGGTGACACGTTTATTTTTGTACTCGGGAGGGCGCATGCGAGCGGCTCACTGCTGCTCCGTTGCGCGCGAGTCGAGATGCGCGCCCACTCACAATGCGTTCCGTCGTACATACAGACTCGGAACACTTCTACTACTGTGATGATTTGAAGTGTGCGAAACCTAGGCTGTAGTTTCCTCGTTAAAATTGCTTCTGTATTTACAATGAGCCCGCAGTGGCGTGCACGCCTGTCCTTGGGACTTTCTGGCCGCACTCACAATTCCATCTACGAACTTCTGAGAAGGGTACAAATGCTTTCTTTGACGTTCTTGCCGCCACTTTCCTATTTGTTGCTAGTGACATTCGGTGGTTTTGGTCTTTTGTGGGATTGCCTTAGATCTTGAGTCTGTCTATGTGGTGTTTTTGAGCTTCTCGAACGAAGCTTTGTTCCGGGGGCGTCCTTGTACGCGGGCGGCCTGGATTCCTTTTTCTGTCTCCGTTCCAAATTAAGGTTTTGCATTCGCGTGGAATGGCAGACTAGTCTTTGCGACGCACGATGTATCATAGTCACTACTGTGCACAGTTGGATTATTAGAGGAAAGGAGATATTTCGGGGTTACACCAATAGCTGCGAGATCACGCAGACGCAAAAACAACCGTGCAGCCGTAAAACGCACGTCGGCCCCAAAAGCGATTTAGCTCTTTGGACTCGTATCTGCACATGGTTCGAGTTGTTCCTCAGAAACTTTAGGTATTTCTGCGAGTTTTGATAGCAAACTGTAGTGTAGCTTGTATAGAGCGTAGACCAAATGGAGATACGACCAACTTTGCTAGCTGTCTAACGATGGTTTCAGCGTGAATCTTGTCATTGGAGTTCCGTGGTTTTTTGTGAGGACTTAGAGTAGTGGCCGTCTGTCGTCGAAGCCTCTTGGCAATGCTTCAGAAGAGCGGTGGGATGGGCCGTCAAAGGGCTGCGCGACATATTCGATCGTTAGTAGGTGGATCGTACGAGCGTTGTTTTCCAAAAAAATAGATTTGCCATTACATAGGTGATGGTACCATTAAAGAGCTTTTTTGGTTCTTAGTGCACATGGAGTGCCATATGGACTGTAACCGTAAGGCTGGGGAGGAGGAATAGCGGTGCATCATTCCTTCGGGAAACTGGGCCCTTTTATTTTACATTGTACTGTTGTCGGAGCACAGAACTGTGGTTGTGTAAGCAATGGACTTTGGTCGGTTGGTTCCAAGAGCATCTTTCATTTGTGGTTGTCTTTGACACGTGCGCATCTCCTGTGCTGTCCTTTTATTTGCCGCTGAAAGTCAGTCACGCTCTTGTTGGTTACACATGACGCTTCATAGCTGAATGCACTCCTGGTTTTTTCTAGCCATTTTCAACATCTTCCGCGCTTTGCCACGAATGTCTGGATTTTGTTTTGTGTTCTTTTTAAAGCCACCAAATAAATGTTCTATTTAATATTGGTTTTGAACAAAAACTGCCCACTGTTTTGGTTGGGAAAGTGCTACTGCAATTGAAACACCACTAGTATATATTGGCCATTAACAACGAGCTCCAAAGGACGGAATTCTTCAACTTGGATAATTATCTGCTTCATTATTCCTGCACTTTTCCTGCATAAAAGCAAAGTTTTGTGCAAAAAAAAGTGGAGTTCCTGGATAAAAAAAAAATAAAACTTTTTATCTAGGAAAAGCGGAGTTCCTGCGTGAAAGCCAAACTTTATTTTTTTTTAAATATTGGCGTTGAAGTGGATCTTACTATACTTCATTCACCCTTAAGCTGAAACTGTAACCAAAGCTGCATGTGCGAGCTAGTGTGCACTCCTGGATTTGAGACATGTATTTCTAGTGCTCGTGCTTGTGGCATTGGCTCAGCTTAAGGGTGAACAGAGTATAGAGTCGACGAGGATTCGCGGAGTGTCGAAAGGCCCAAGCTTAGGCTTACCGCCACTACATATTTTGGACTAGCTTCAGGATTGTACTCTCTGCACTTGGAAACATATGGGAGATTGCTCAGCAGAGTCTTTGCTGATGAAGGCCGAAATGTGCACCAGCAAGCGTTTCAGTGTAGCGTGAAAGTTGACCACTGTGGGGGCCAGTGAATGTCTCATTCGCACTCTGTGGAAACAAGAGGAGACTTGTTCTTTTCCTTTGTACCATCGTGCTTTGCCGTTTGCCGACATTATACTACCGCCTTACTGCTGGCATCTGGTTGGCCATGCTGGAAGCGCTCTTCTCCCGTCATCCACCGAGGTGTCCACCGCTGAAAGGACTACACCGGGCGGCGTGTTTGCCTGGCAACGGCAACCAGCACGCAATCCGCAGGAAAACGCCTTCCAGTTCATTCGGCTGCCGTACCCCACCATTTTCTTCGTAAGACTCATAATGCCGCACCAGCAAAGAATATCGCTACTGGCAAGAAGCGCGAAGGGTGCCTATTACCTAAGAGCTCCGGGAATTGCCTCCGACCAGAAGCGGGTTGGCTCGTTCTCTATGGTAAGCTAAAAGGTACTATTCATTTCCAGCTGGTGTCGATGTGGCAGACAGAAGGTCCTCGTTTCGCGGTTCTCTTTTGTTTATGTGTCTTATGCCCTTTAGGTTTGTGCTTCTCTGGGCCCATCTCCTCTCAAGGTCGATGGTGTGCACGAGGGCTCTGCACTCGGAGATAGCTTTCTCTGGCATTTCTGAAGAGTGGAGCGCGCGTGAGCAGGCCCGTGTGTTCCCGTACCTTTGACTCCCTTGCCACAGGGCGTTGTCTCCCACTGAAGTCTCCAGGCTGTGGCAGAAGGTGGTCGAACCGTCGTAACTTGGGTTCCTCAACTGAAGGGTTGAATAGACCATTTACTAAACTTCCAAGCGCCCCAGCCTGCACTTGAGGAATTATGGGAACAGTGTTCCTTCAGCTCCCCAGTGATAGGTAATTTTGACCCATTCCGTGGTTACACAGTCTTGAGTGTAATTGTCTCCTCATTGTTAGCGTTTTTGATACTGTGCATACTGTCCACCCTTCAACCTAGATAAGCTGCAGAAATCTATTACATTATTATCATTCTCGTACTGCTTCAAAGATGCTGATATTAAGTTAGAAATGCTATAAACAGTCCCGCTGACCCCAAGAGCTAAGTCCTAGTTTTTGTTGCGAATTCTCGGCTTTTTAAGCAATTCGTGCTAAAACAACGATCGCGAGAATGATAATATTGTAAGAGACTTCTGTAGCTTAGCCAGGTTGAAAGGTGGATCGCGTGCACAGTATCAAAAACACTGACATTGACGAAAAGTTTTAAAAGTGATACGACAGGTCCTTGGACTCCACACGATGCTTGGTCAGGGTGACTCCGGATTACACTCAAGACTGTGTAACCACGGAATTGGTCAAAATTACCTATCACTGGGGAGCTAAGGAATACTGTTCCCATGATTCCTCGAGTGGAAGCCGGGGCGCTTGGGAGTTTAGTAAATAGTCTATTCTAACAAATTTTGTTTGTGTGCGTGAATATATAAAGACAATGAAACGTTGTATGTGGCGGATGTTTCTAGTCGCACGTAATGTCGTCTGTAAGGTGATTATTTTTTTTTTAATCTGATGCTTCGGTACTTGGAGGAAATGGGAATGCCCGAAAATAACTCGGTGGACTTCATCTAGACATTGGAAGAATCTCTTTTTAAAAGAGTCTGTTGCAGGTTTGCAGTAGAGGCTCCCCCTCCAGCGCGAGACCTTCGATTGCACTCGGGCGCCTGCGCTGCCAAAGCACGAGAGAAGGCGATGATCACAGGCTGAAGGTGGAGCTTCTGCACATCTAATGTGTTGCATCACCTCCCAAGCGAGCGCTAGTGGTGTTTGGCCGACCTTGGCCGGATTGCTCTCGATTTTGATTACGTAGATGCCTATTTTGATGCCAACGTCCGACATGGCTACTATAAGCCAAAAATTTTTCTTTGACGGGGACTTTTTAAAATTGTTCTAATTTTATATTTCTCGCCATCGCTTTGCTGTGGATTGACCAGACTCGCTCGTTCACTCCCCGCCTCGGAACCAGAGAGGAGATTCGCCCAGTCATCCTCTCCTACTTCGGGAGGCATCCGCCTTCCGAAGATCCTCCCCTACTTCGGGATACTTCTCCATAGATTATTTCAAACTCCCCTACCATCACTTCACCATGGGCTGGCTCACTGATCTCAATGACAATTGCTGGATTGCGCTTCCCGCTCCTACAAATGAAGCCACCGGACGGCCATCTTGCTCGTAGACGATTTGCAGTTTTGCTTGCGTTACAGAGGCTGGCGGCAGTGTGCTGAAGGCACGTTTTCTACTCGTTCGTCATCATTCGTCGAAGATTTTTAAGACCCTGTATAAGGTTGAGACTTGCCGTTGAGAATGCGTGGAAATTTTAACGAAAGTGCAGTGCAGCAGGAAAGCCACAACCCGTCGAAAGCAAGTTTCGCCGGTCTCGCGGCGCGATCGAAACTTCCTTGGCACGCCGAAGTACTGCGTCTGTGTAAGATTTTGTACTACTAATTTGATTGCCATAAGTTTCTAGTAAATAAAACAAAAGAATCTGCCGCTGATGCCGCCCCCTTCCCCTCCCTTCCCCCCTCTTCCATTGCCACTGGACACTGGATCAAGCTCATTTCTGGATCGCGAGTGCCGCTAGTTACAAATACATTAGTCGGAGGAAAAGTAAAAAGCTGCTCTAGAGGTACATACGGGTTCACGCACATTGCATTCGCAAAACACATCCACACGGCGTCGATTCTTGGTTAGTATCCAAGCGCGCGAAGACACGGAGACGCGGCACTTCCGCGTGCCAAGGAAGCTTTGAACACGCCACCAGACTGGCGAAACTTGCTTTCGACGAGTTGAGGCTTTTTCCTGCGGCACTGCGCTTTCGTAAAATTTTCCACAGGTTCACAAAGGCAACTCTCAATGGTTACACACGGTCTTGCAAAAACTTCTTCGGCAAATGACGACAAAGGGGTAGAAAACGTGTCCATAGCACGTTGCCGCCAGCCTCTGCAATGCTAGCAAAACCACAAATCGACCACAAGCAAGATGGCCGTCCTGTGGCTCTGCTCGCGCTGCAGCGAACAAGCGGGGAAGCGCGATTTAGCAATTGTCATTGAGATCAGTGGGTTGGCCCAGAGCCGTATATGTAGAGTTTGGCCATTTTTTGGGGAAGTATAGGAGAGAAATTAGGACGTGCCATTTGCCGAAAGCGGGCTAGGCATGTTCCAGTGAGTGTTCACGAATTCGATTGTGGCCAACCAAAAGCCAGAAATAATACCCTGGCGGTGGTCGCGAGAAACACACTTAATAAGTGTGTCGGAGTAACTCTTGGTGACTGAAAATATGGTGCACGTGATGTTTCGATCACGGTCATCCAAAATCACGCTGGAAGAGTGCGACTAGCGGAACGATCGACATAATCCGTACGCCAAGTGCCGAGAGCCAGGAATCTGCCGTCCGAGCGGTCACACACTGTCCGAGCAAAACAGAGTTCAAGCAGCGCATTTGTTTCTTGCATCTTTCTGCATGATGATGATTGAAACATCACGTGCACCCTATTTTCAACTACGAACTGTTACTACAGTTCACTCCTACATGCTTATTAAAACCATATACCAACATATAACTATCATTAAAACAGTTTCTCGCTACCAGCGCTAGGGGATTCTTTTTGGCCTCTGGTTGGCCAAGAGAGTGTGACAATCCCGCTGGTGCATGCCCCGACTCTGCCCGCGCCTCCCATTGACCAAACTCTCTCTATACATGGCTCTGGGCTGGCCGAGACACGTCGGCCATTAGTACGCTTTCTGGGACACAGTTTGCGAGAGACCATACTCGGTTAACAGAAGCTTCGTTTGATTTACCTGCATGCCCTGCACCGGTGCAGAAAAGTGTAGGGCGGTGTACTTCCCATCCCATCTTAACCCATAAGTACACTGCCCTACACTTCTCTGCCGATGCGAGAGGTGTGGGTAAATCGAACGAAGCTATCGTACATCCAGTGATAAGTTAGCGGAAAGGAATGACTTCTCTCAGCGGTTGGAAGTGTACAGCCGTGTCGCCGAGTTTATACTGTAGTAAAATCTACTGTTTTATGCGATGAACGCTTCTCGGCATCATTGTACGCTGGACACTCCGGGCTTTTTATGTTTTTATTTTGTTCTCGGTCCGTGGGGTCGTCCTTAGACTGGAGTCGCAGTCTTCGTTTGCAGGAGACAGGCAAATCTTGGATGAGTGGGGCTCGTTGACACAGTTGCACCATGCAGCACGGCACCTCCCCATTGGCCTGTCCTAAGGGTCGCCATAGCAACAGTTGTAACGCAGTCAATTCCAGGTGTGTAAACGTTAAGAAACATTTGAATTTCGGGCAGAGTTCTGGGCACTTGGAAACTCTATCACAGTTTATGTTTTACTTTTCTCAGCTGTACGCAGGTTTGTGGCATACATCGAAGCACTTTTTTTTAATGTATATAT